TTGTAGTTGACCTTCAGTTTGTCACAAAACCAGCCCAATCTGCATATGAGAAAATCTTGACATCTCTATTTAGTATTTTTTTGAAGTGCAACCTTTTACCCGAATTTTTTTCAAGTATTGAAGGATTCGATATACTGTGTGCATATGTGTCTTTGTAGGATTGTTCATAAATCTGTTCACCATAGTTAGGGAGAAGCCAATGTCAGGTCTAGTGTAAGCCAATGTCAGGTCTAGTTTGCGCCAAAGAAATTAATTTTCCCATAAATCTCTGGTATCCATTTTGGTTTACAAGAGGAATTCCATCTCCGGTTCTCATTTGGACATTTAGGTCCATCAGAGTATCCATTGGTTTACACCCAAGCATCCCTACGCCTTTAAAAAGATCAAGTACATATTTTTGTTGTGAAACAAAAATAACATTTCTTGATTGAGCTACTTTCATGCCAAGAAAATATCGAAATTGTTTAAAGTCCTTTATTTCAAACTCTTTAGCTAGAAGAGTCTTCAATGCAACTATTTCCTCTTCATAATCTCCTGTGAGGACAATATCATCAACATAAACAATCATAATAGTAATCTTGCTATTTGGTGAATGTTTGACAAACATAGTATGGTCGAATTGGCATTGTAAAAACCCATTCTTTTTAGCAACCTTAGTCAAATGATCAAACCAAGCACAAAGAGATTGTTTGAGGCCATATAAGGATTTCTGAAGCTTACACACCTTGCTGATGTTGTCCTGGTTGTCAAACCCTGAAAGAATCTTCATGTAGACCTCTTCCACTAGATCACCATTCAGAAATACAATTTTGATATTGACTAGGTGAAGAGGCCAATTTAGGTTTGTAGCAAGTGATAGTAACACACGGACAAAATTTAGTTTTGCTACAGGAGCAAATGTCTTCTCATAATCAATCCGTAAGACTGAGTGAACCCTTTAGCCACAAGACGAGCTTTAAATCTGTTCACACTTCTGTCTGTATTGTGTTTGATAGTAAAAATCCATTTATATCCCACTAGGCTCTTTCTTCCAAGAAGATCAGTAATTCCATTTGCCATTCTTTTCTAGTGTTTGTATTTCTTCCATTACTGCAACCTTCCACTTTGGTTGTTCGAGCCCTTATTGGATGGTAATGATGTAACCAATGCTCGGTAAGTAGGAAACAACCCTTCATAGGAAACAAAGTTATTAATAGGGTGCTGAGTACATGATCTCACACCTTTTCTTATAGTACTGGGCTGATTAAGATCATTAGGAAAATCATCAGAGATAGGTTCAAAAACTGTGTTACCTGTATGAATTTCAAAAGTCCCTAGATTTAGTTTAGAATCTTGGTTGTGTTGGAGATGTACAGGTCCCTATCTCTTTTTGAGATTTTGATCTTCTTGAGTATACAATCATTTCCTTAGCTTTTGTCTCTTGCACGGTTTCAAGAGATTTTGGAGAATCAAGGTGACTAGTTGACTTGGAAGAGGAAGAAAATTATTTGAAACAGGAATTTGAATTGGTAGACAAGTAAAGGAAGGATCAGATGATGGCTCAATATTCCAAAGTTGATATTTCCCCGAACTCTTCCCTTGAATATCAGTTTTGGGATAGAAGGTTGATTCTCAAAAAAGGTGACATCCATAAAAGTGTAAAACTTTTTAGTAGTTAGTGAATAACATTTGTAGCCTTTTTAGTTAGGTGAGTAGCCAAGAAATATAAACCTGAGTAATCTGAGGTTTAGTTTACTGCATTTTTGTTGGTGTATATGAATAAAGGTAGTAAATACGAACATTGTGGCTGATACGAAGGAAATGATTTGGACATGAGGGTAGTTTTGAGAAGTGATTGATAAGGGTTTGGAATTTTAGTACTTGAGAAAGCATCCTATTGATAAGAAAGGCTATTGTCAAGATTGCCTCTCCCCAAAAATGTTTCAAGACATGAGAGGCTAGCATAATAGATCTTGCAACTTCCATCAGGTGTCTGTTCTTCCACTCGATAACTCTTTTGTTGAGGAGTTTCAGTGTATAAGCTTTGATGAATAATTCCTTGATCTAACAAGTAAGATCCAAGAACTGAGTGATAGTATTCTCGCTCATTATCTGTTCTGAGCACTTAAATTATTGCTTGAAATTGAGTTTACACCATCTTGTTGAAATTTTGAAATATTGAACTAACCTCTGACTTGGCTTTCATGAGGAACAGCCATGTAACTTTGGTGTGATCATCAATTAAGGTAATAAACCATCTATAGCCTATAATTTTGTTAACCCTCGATGGTCCCCAAACATCACTATGGATCACAAAAAAAGGATGAGTTAATTTGTATGGTTGACTTGGATATGAATTACAGGTGTGTTTGGAAAACGGACAAATTTTACATTGATAAGACTCAGAACCTCTATTGAATAAATCAACGAACAATTTTTTGAGGTACAAGAAATTTGATGTCAACAATGGTGCTATAACTTGATTGTATTTTCTTTATGCTTACTAGAAGATGAAACCGAACAAGCACTCTTCCATGATTGTCTCTTAGATTCTTCATCTCTAAGGAGATAGAGGCCAGCACACATCCTAACATTACTTCTTCCCCGAATCCAAGCATTGAAATTCACACATGTTAAAAAGAAATTTAGTAACATAACTAAGATCTCTTGTAATTTTACTAAAAGATAGAAGGTTGCAATCTAAATTAGAAGATGAAAAACAGAGTCAAATGTTATGTCCTTTGAAATAATGACTGAACCTGTCTCGGTCACCTGGGAGAGTGACCCATCTACTATTCGAATTGTGAGGTTTTCAGAACATGGGATGTATTCATGGAACACTGATGCATCACCAGTCATGTGGTTTGATGCACCTGAATCAACAATCCAAGATCTTGATTTTCCACTTTGCACAAGTAGAGCATTGAGAGAGTTACCTTTTTGTGCAATAGATGCTGTGCTTATAATTGACTTAGTGTTCTAAAGAGATTGCTGAACAATTTTCTGAAGGAATTCCAACTGCTTTTTACTAAACGGGCTTGATTCTGGGGTTGTTAGAGTTGTCTCAGTGGTGGTAGAATTTCTATGACTCTCTCGATTTTGAGTAAAATGTGATTTGTAGTCAGCAGGTTTCCCATGGATTTGCCATCAATTTGCCCGTGTCAGTCCTAGTTTCTAGCAATGGTCACACCAAGGTCTATTACCTTTTTTCTGTCGATTTTCACCACCTTGGTAGGATTTTGGTCCTTATGCAACAAGGGCTAAATTTTTTGTCTCTTGTGGATTGCATGATGTCTCTAGTATCACATTCCTTCTACTCTCTTTTCGGCAGACCTTAGAGTAAACTTCTCGGATGCAGGGTAATGGCTTGATGCTAAGAATTCTCCCATAAATATCATCAAGGCTCTTGTTTAGATCAAGTTGAAACTCATAAACTTGGTCCTTCTCCACTATGTTCTTGTATTGGTTGCTATTGTTAGGGCACTTCCATGCTATTTCTTTAAAGATATTTAATTGCTACTAATAACAAGTTAAAGAATTAAAATATTCCATGATAGAGGAGTCTCCTTGTCGCAGGTCATGTAGAGTGCTTTTGATCTCGAATGTTGCAGATGTATTGTCTACGTTGGAGTAGGTCTCTTTCGTAGCATCCCAAATCTCCTTGGTAGTTTTGTAGTACATGAAATTCTCACCAATCTCGTTGGTCATAGAATTGATCAACCATGACATTACCACATTATTCTCTAACTTCCAAGTTCGATACTTCGAGTCATCTTCGTTGGGTGAAACAACCATTTCTGTGAGATAATCCTCCTTACCTTTTCCACAGACAAATAGCATCACTGATTGAGACCATTGGATGAAATTTTTTCCATTGAGTTTGTGACCAGTGATAGGCAAAATAGGGGTCTCGAATAGACCAGTGCTACTAGCCATAGCATAGATAAAAACATAGAAAGAATATATATATATATATAGGTTTTGATGATTCAAGATGAACGCTCTGATACCATGAAGAAATTCATAAAAATTTTATTTATGAATTCTTAAGAAACTTTCTAGAGTATAAGAGTATATATATAGCTAAAACATCAAATCTAACAAATCCCATGATATCTTAGAGAATAACAAATCACCTAAAAATCCTCTAACAATAAATGGAAATTACTAATTAGGAATTTGATCAATGAACCAAATCCCTTTTTATTTAGGAAACAACAAAAATACTAAATGAATGACATAATCAAATCTGGTTAGGAATCAATTTTCCACAAGAGATACTAAATAGTGGGTTGATTTGCACACCACATGTATCAACCAAGGATCAACTTGCAAATGTGTTGACTAGAGGTCTCAATAGTGCAACATTTAAAGAAATTATTTCCAAACTATGAATGGAAAACACCTATTCACCAACTTGAGGGGAGTGTGGGAAACCACTTAGTTACATATGGTTATAATTTGTATATATTTGTATTCCTAGAATTAAGTATTTGTATTTTTAGAATTAAGGACAGAAAATTAGGATAGACAATTCCTTAATTATAAGATCTATTTAGGGAAGATTTAATTTCTTAATTTACCCTCTAGTTAGATGTATATAAACTTAAGATGCTTGTATAATTCAACAAAGAAAATTTTCTATATACTCTCAGTTTTTCCACATCTGCTTCTATTTCTTCTGATTTTCTACTCCTAGCACCTCTATTTGTACCCCATTTCAGCTATTAGTTCCTAATTCTCTCCCTAGTTTCTCTTTCATTTCTATTCTCTATTTTTGTTCTCCACTTTATTCTACATAATGGATTTTTATAAAAAAGGTCCTGAAGCCTACTAATAAGCAAATAGGTACATAATTTTTCAATGAGATAAAATTAACTTTTGAAGATTAAGATCTGACATCATTAACCAGTAAAGTTTCAAATGTTAAGCATAAAACCCAGTTTTAAATAATTTGGATGGTATTACTACTAAATAAGCATGCATAAACACCTAAGTGATTTAACTATGAATAAGAATACCTGTCATATTCAATATTCTCGGTGGGAGATACAGTTAAACTATTTGCACTTTCGAAAGCCAGCAGGTAAGCTATACCAACCTGTAAAAGTTAATTACATCTTTTAATATGGTATGCAGAGAAAAGGAAATTCACTAATAAGAAATGCAGGCCTCAAATTGGCCTTAAAATTTTAGAAAATAACTAAGAGACAAGACAATTACTGATAAAAGTTACACAGATTGGCCAGAATTTACAATTGCAATTTAGTTTAATCCCTGAGTTTTCAAGAAAAATGCATACTTAAATATATGTAATCAATGGTCCAGATCAAAGGATACACTTCTTCTGCCTATTTAGTGTCCTGGTTTTCTTTTCAGACACACCAAAATGAAAGTTACCAACAATTTGAGGCACTAGATTTGTTGGTTTTGACTTTGTTTATTAACGATAAAAACACAAAAACACCAAATACTATAGTATTGATGATACATAAAAAAAAAATTGTTGTAAAAAATCAAAATATCTCTCTTCCTAAAACTTCCCACCAAGTTAAGCAAGAAACTGAGAATGCTATCTCTCTTACCTGGTTTAAAAAGAAAAAATGATATTTCCAATTCACTAACCTCTAAGATTTCACTAAAACCAATCTACTCTTTTCAAAAGAAGGCCTGAGGATATATAGCCTATTTTCTAAGTAAAAGTTAATTCTCATCCTCCCAAGGTTGAGACCGTACAGCTCCAATTACTTTCCTCCTTATGAAAACATACTGAGCCTATCTTTCTCTGCCAATATTTGGATATCCTCTGCTCCGCCTTCACTAATCCTTTGCAAGCCAGAGACATCTATCAGAACATTAAAATTTCTCTAAAATTAATATATCATGAAATTCAGAAATTTGTGTAACTTTGAGGTGGCAGAAACCCAATGCTAACCTGTATCTATTTCTATTTTCAGAAGAGTAAAAACATTTTCATTTCTGGGTGATTCACCTGTTTCCTCTTTTTTCCTTTTCTTTTGAGTTTTCTCCATCTTGTTACCCTTTCATGGTTCCCCATATATGGCTCTTTCAAAATAATCATCCTGAATATTCTATACATAACAAGAAGGATTTTTTGCAGAATTAATGCTACTTCTTGGTAGAACTTTTCATACCTTAAGGAATGGTTCCAGAATTCTCTCTTTTTTATTTATTTTTTCTCTTTACATAAAGTGGTCTTTATTAAGTTATGCTTCTTTTCTCAGCTCAAACCAAAGCCAATTTGAATTTATTTATTTTGGAGCTGGAGAGTAGGATTCTGGGTAGGAAAAGAATACAATGAGAGAAAAATAAGGTCTCTGTATAAGTGATAACTAAAAATCAACCTATGAATTCTTCTGTAAAATTTTTCAGACTTCAAAATCTCTGCCACTCTTGGAAATTTTTCAAGCCACATTTTCTTAAACCCCATTTATGCAGTCCCCTAAGAATTCCTTTTACCTACTTTATAATGCCATCTCATGCTTCATCTTCACTTAACTTTGCTAGTAAGTTGTAGTAATCTGCACAAAATTATGTTCTACTTAAACTGCCTTATATAAAATAAGCCCAATCAATTTCCTAATTTCCTGTTGATTTCATAAAGATCAGTTCCACGTTCTCAATGAAGGTGGAAAAAGGACGGGCTGATGGAAACTATCCGGAAGAGAGGAGTGGTACACATTCAACCTAACATTTACGAAACTATGGAGTTTCATCCAATGCTTTAAACTAATGAAGTTCAACAAAGTATAGGTTTGTTTTGAGCTTTAACTCTATGTGTATCAATATCAATAAGGATTATTTATGTCCAGACCAAAAAAAAAAGGATTAATTGTTCAAGCCATATATGGTGACAAAGAACATTCATCTCACTTCTAATACATCAAACTATATAAGCATTGGACTTTTACAGAGAGTGTTATGTCTTTTTAGTAGTGCAGTGAGGACAACTTTTAGCTTCCAAGTTTCTTTCTGTTCCCTATGTCTAGAATGAGATGAACTTAGTTGTTGGTGTTCACTCGTATTTCCGGGAAACATAATTTTTATTGTCTCTTATACTTGAGAATTGTTCCAAAATTGGTCTTTTATTTCCAAACGATGTATAGAAAAGCATATTATGTGAAACTTTATCTCTAGGGTGGATTTTCTTACAGCAGTGAGCTGGTTTATCTCAAAAGTGAGTGCATGATCTTTTCTTTCCTTTCCCATACAACCCAGTATCACCTTAGCTGTCTATATGCTGTAAAGAAAGGGAAGCAAAAACATAAACATACAGCAGCTGAAGAGCTAAGGCCTGAACTGTCCAGACCCTCAGATCCACAGATGTAGCCAATGATTCCCTGCAAATATAAGTAGAATTTAATTAAATAAGTACATATTTTCAAAAGAAATGAAATGTGAAAATAACTAAGAAAAAGCATTTGCTTTCACAGTTTGTAACATATCAGCGTCATACTCAGCAATTAGACAGACAAAGCTTACAATAGGAATCTGAGCTATATTTGATAAGAATACTAAATAAAACGATTTTTATCTCATCTCATAGGAGCTAAACATGAAAAATCTCAGTTCTAAAGAAAGGCACAGAAAAAAGAACTATGGCTGCAATTTATCTTTTAGATACTGATTGATATTTGCTAGACTGTAAAACAGATTTCCTCTCATTAGCATCTTCATTACAAGGTTTAGGAAGTCTCTAACAGATTAAAAAAAAAGAAAAATTCTTTGTTTGTACGTTTGAACCAATGTTGGTCATATTTCTCTTTACTGAGAAATGGAAGAAGCTATGCAAGGGTTTTCTTGGGCCTGCTCATATGATGCCCAATCATATGGTATCTAGAGTAAAAAATTCTATGTTCTATGACACCGGTATGAATACAGGTCTATCCAGTTCAACTAAGACCATAGTTCCTGACCTGACATTCTATGAAAATTAAGATCAAGAAAGGAAGTTTTCCAATCATTGACTCAAACCCATTGTTGAAGTCCACTCAGCAGAATAAGGGGGTACTTATGGTAGAACGGGCCGACTTATGATTACATTTACTTTTCTGGGGTATAAATAATTTAGATTGTTTTTGACTTGTATGAAAATACAAGGAAATAACTCTTACCTGAGCAAGATGGTTCCCTCTACTCTGTAATGCATATAAGGCTCCTGCAGCATATACGCCCCAGTTACATTCTTCTGGTGATGCAGAAGAATTCTCTACATTAATCTCTTTACGCTTGCTAATGGTGTGTCTTGGCTGCTGGGTTTCATTAACTCTATAATAGCATTGATGCCAAAAAATTCAACTTAAAAATGGCAAAGTAGATTGCGTAATCATGACAAAAAAAATATATGCATCATGACAAAAATTAATACTGTTTGAGGCAGAAAGAAGAAAGTCACATGGTATATGCAAATACTCTAGGGCTAAGAAGGTTGTACTATTGTATAAGACAAACTATTTGAATTGCACTATGGACATATTCATCTTTAATAGCAGCCACAAATTTCCAATATGCACTTGGTTTTGCATTTTATAATAGTTTAGGAAACCCTACCAATAGCGGACCTTTTAGGATAAAAGATTACTTAACCAAGAGGTAAGTCGTACAGCAGGGATGAGAAAGAAGAAAGTAAATTTAATGTTTTGAGATACTTCAGCATTTTTAAAATATATAACTTAACAAACTCAATTAGGATAATGACACACAAGTTATTCTAACTGTAAATACTGTCCATGGTTCATTTTGGAAAATCTAATACCATGATCTATCATATTTCACAAACAATCCTCATAAAAGAAGGGCTAGTGAAGCAGCTGAACAAGCATATTTCTTGCTTTAACCAGTTATGACGATTTATGCTGAGCGCAGACAGGACAGTTCTACTGAAACAAGTAAAAGAAAACAAAAAATGCTGAAAATAAAATGAAAAATCTCAAAACCCTTAGTAGACATGGAAATATAAAAGACTAATTAAACCAAAAAAAAAAAAAAATTGACTAAAGGACATTATTCAAAAGCAACACACAAGTGAAGGAGGATTACCATAATCCTCATACCTGAACCTAACTTCTCCTTTAAACTGACCGGAACGTAATGCAACCTACACCAAACGTGCCATAGTCTGTTCAGAAGAAAATGAAATGAAGGAAATAACAATATCTGAACAGGAAAAAGATTGTTTAATATTCTGCTGTGATTTTTGAATTGTGGTTCCTGCTTTTTCTTTTATACCCTTCAAGCTTTAAGAAAAAGGTCAAAAGGACTTTGCATTTGTGTATATGGGACACAGAGAGAGTCTCATTTTGCAATGTAGATAGTTATGGTACTGAAGTCAGGCACCAGAAATTCAACAATAGTCTTTTTCTTACAGATGCTGATGAAGTTTGTGTTCCCACCATTCATTTGATCAGTCATATTCATTATCTGTACACTATACAATGATCTTTAACTTCTTATTTTAGAATATAGCATACTAATGATGCAGTCAATCCTAGGTAGTTACCACTCTTTCATGTGACAATATCTTGTTTATTAATCAAGAAAGAGAAAAAAAGAAAAAGAAAAAAGTCTGAGAGAGAGAGAAACAATATCTTGATGATATGATGAAGAAATTCATGAGAATTTTATTTATGAGTTATTTAGAAACTTTCTAGCGTACAAATGTGTATATATAGCTAAAACATCAAATCTGGCAAATCCTATAATATCTTAAAGATAATAACAAATCACCCAAAAATCCTAACATAAATGAAAACTACCAATTAGGAATTTGATCAATGAATCAAATCCCTTTTATTTAGGAAACAACTAAAATACTAAATGAATGACATCTAATCAAATCTGGTTAAGAATCAGTTTTCCACACTCCTCCTCAAGTTGGGTGGTAGATATCAATCATACCCAACTAGGACTTCAAATTCTTGAAATTACACCTATGAAGAGCCTCGGTGAGGATGTCAACTGTCTGATGTTTTGTTGGAGTGTAGACCAATTTGACTACGCCTTCATCAATCTTTTTTTTGATGAAGTGGCGAGTAATCTCTACAAGTTTCGTTTGATCATGATGAACAGGGTTTTTAGCAATGTTAATTGCTGCTTTATTGTCACAAAATAGTTTCACTAAATTCCTAGTTGACTTTTTCAGTTCCTAAAGCATTCTCTCAAACCAAATTCCTTCACAAATCCCGGGAGACATAGCTCTAAATTCAGCGTCAACTGCTTGTTTCTTACTCCTCCAGGTAACCAAGTTGCCCCAAACATATGTACAATACCTTGTAGTTGACCTTCAATCTGTCATAGAACCAGACCAATATGCATCTGAGAAAATCTCCATATCTCTATTTAGTGTTTTCTTAAGTGCAACCCTTTGCTCGGATTTTTTTTCAAGTATTGAAAGATCTTATATACTACCTCCATGTGTGTCTTTGTAGGGTTGTTCGTAAATCTGCTTACCATACTTATAGAGAAGCCAATGTCAGGTCTAATGTGTGCCAAATAAATTAATTTTCCCACAAGTCTCTAGTATTTGTTTTGGTCTACATGAGGCATTCCATCTCTGGTTCCTATCTTGACATTTGGGTCCATCGAAGTATCCATTGATTTACACATGAGCATCCCTATCTCTTTGAAAAGATCAAGTACATATTTTCGTTATAAAACAGAAATACCATTTCTTGATCGAGCTACTTCCATGGCAAGAAAATATTGGAGCTATCCCAAATCCTTTATTTCAAACTCTTTCCAATCCAACTATTTCCTGTTCATAATCTCTTGTGAGGACAATATCATCAACATAAACAATCATAATAGTAATCTTGCTATTTGGTGAATGTTTGACAAACATAGTATGGTCAGATTGGCATTGTAAGAACCCATTCTTTTTACCAGCCTTAGTCAAACGATCAAACCAGGCGAGAGGAGATTGTTTGAGGCCATATAAGAATTTTTGAAGCTTACACACCCTACCGATGTTGTCCTGGTTGTCAAACCCTAGAAGAATCTTCATGTAGACCTTTTCCACTAGATCATCATTTAGAAATGCATTTTTGATATCGAGTTGGTAAAGAGGCCAATCTAGGTTTATAGCAAGTGATAGTAACACATGAACAGAATTTAGTTTTGCTACAGGAGCAAACATCTCCTTATAATCAATCTCATAAGACTGAGTGAACCCCTTAACCACAAGAAGAGCTTTGAATCTATTCACACTTCTGTCTGTATTGTGTTTGATGGTAAAAATCCACTTACATCCCATTGAACCCTTTCCTCCAAGAAGATTAGTAATTTTTTATTTGCCATTCTTTTCTAGTGCTTGCATTTCTTCCATTACCACAACCTTCCACTTTGGTTGCTGGAGTGCTTCTTGGATGGTATTTAGTATATAAACATCAGTTAATGATGTAACTAGTGCTCGGTAAGTAGAAAACAACACTTCATAAGAAACAAAGTTACTAATAGGGTGCTGAGTACATGATTTCACACATTTTCTTATAGCAATGGGCTGATCAAGATCACTAGAAAAATCATCAGATATAGGTTCAACAATTATGTTACCTGTATGAATTTCAAAATTCTCTAGATTTGGTTCAAAATCTTGGTTCTATGTTGGAGATATACAGGTCCCTATCTCCTTTTGAGATTTCGGTCTCCTTAAATGTACAATCATTTCCTTAGTTTTTGTCTCTTGCATGGTTTCAGGAGATTTTGGAGACTTAAGATGACTAGTTGACTCGAAAGAAGAAGAATAATTATTTGAAATGGGAATTGGAATTGACAAACAAGTAAAGAAGGATCAGATGATGGCTCAATCTCTCAAGGTTGATATTTCCTAGAACTCTCCCCCTAAATATTGGCTTTGCGATAGAATGACTGATTTTCAAAGAATGTGACATCCATAGAAGTGTAAAACTTTCTGGTAGTTAGTGAATAACATCTGTAGCCTTTTTGGTTAGGTGAATAGCCAAAAAAATCCACCTGAGTGATCTGGGGTCTAGTTTACTACGTTGTTGTTGGTGTATATAAACAAAGGTAATACATCCAAACACTTTGACTGGTATGGAAGAAATGATTTGAACATGAGGGTAGGTTTTGAAAAGTTTTTGACAAGGGGTTTGGAATTTTAATACTTGAGAACGCATCTTATTGATAAGAAAGGCTGCTGTCAGGATTGCCTCTCCCCAAAAATATTTTGGGACATGAGAGGCTAGCATAATAGATCTTGCAACTTCCATCAGGTGTCTATTTTTCTGCTTAACAATTCCATTTTGTTAAAGAGTTTTAGTACATAAGCTCTGATGAATAATTCATTGATCTAACAAGTAAGATCCAAGAATTGAGTGATAGCATTCTCGCCCAATGTCTGTTTTGAGCAGCTGAATTTTTGCTTGAAATTGAGTTTACACCATCTTGTTGAAATTTTGAAATATTGAACTAACCTCTGACCTGTCTTTCATGAGGAACAGCCATGTAACCTGGTGTGATCATCAATGAAGGTAATAAACCATCTAGAGCCTATAATATTGTTAACCCTCAATGGTCCCCAAACATTACTATGGATTATAGAAAAAAGATGAGTTGATTTGTAAGGTCGACTTGGATATGAATTGCGAGTGTGTTTGAAAAAAAAATCGGACAAGCACTCTTCTATGATTGTCTTTTAAATTCATCTCTAGCAAGATAGAATCCAGCATACATCTCAACATTGCCAATCTTTTTCCCCAAATCCAAACCCTAAAATTCACACATGTTAGAAAGAAATTTCGTAATATAATTAAGATCTCTCATAATTTTACTAATAGACATAAGGTTGCAATCTAAATTAGGGACATGAAGAATATAGTCAAGTGTTATGTCCTTTGAAATAATGACTGAACCTGTCCCGGCCCTCTTCCTTCACACCAATAAACTATCTATCTTCCCTAAGGGCAGTCAGAAGGAAAGAAAGTACAACTGGAGCTCGCATGTACCCCTACAAAAAAGTAACTAGCACTTGCTGGAAGGGCTTAACTTAATACTCTAATTGGATCTCAAACTAAAACCTCAGGTAAGGTAAAATAGGAATTCCTCTCTAGCGCCTTTACTTTATCCTATCCCTACGCTTGCTGCCCATCTACTATTCGAATTGTGAGGTTTTTAGAACATGGGATGTATTCTTGGAACACTGATGCATCACCAATCGTGGTCTAATGCGTCTGAATCAATAATCAAAGATCTTGATTTTTCACTTTGCACAAGTAGAGCATTGAGAGAGTTACCTTTTTGTGCAACAAGCGTTGTGCTTACAATTGACCCAATGTTTTGAAAAGACTGTTGAAAAATTTTCTGAAGGAGTTCGAACTGCTCTTTACTGAATGGGCTTGATTCTGGGGGTATTGGAGTTGTCTCGATGGTGGCAGAATTTCCATGACTCTCTCGATTTCAACTAGAACATGCTTTGTAGTCAGCAAGTTTCCCTTGGATTTGCCAACAATTTTCTCATGTGTGTCCTGCCTTTTGACAATAGTCACACCAAGGTTTGTTACCTTTTTTCTATCAATTTTCACCACCTTGGTGGAATTTTGGTCCTCGTATAGCAAGCGTTGAATTTTCTATCTCTTGTGGATTACATGATCTCTCTAGTATCACTTTCCTTCTACTCTCTTCTCGACGAACCTCAGAGAAAACTTCTCGGATGTTGGGTAATGGCTTGATGCTAAGAATTCTCTAACGAACATCATTAAGGCTCTTGTTTAGACCAAATAAAAACTTATAAACTCAGTCCTTCGCCACTGTTTTCCTGTATTGTTGGCTATCGTTAGGGCACTTCCATGCTATTTTTTCAAATATATCTAATTACTGCCAATAACGAGTTAAATAATTAAAATATTTTGTGATAGATAAGTCTTCTTGTCGCAGCTCATGTAGAGTGCTTTGGATCTCAAATATTCCAGATGTATTGTCTATGTTAGAGTAGGTAGGTTTCTTTTGCAGCATCCCAAATCTCTTTGGTAGTTTTGTAGTACGTGAAATTCTCACCAATCACATTGGTCATAGAATTGATCAACCACGACATTACCAAGCTATTCTCTAACTTCCAAGTTCTATACTTCGGGTTATTCTCGCTAGGTGAAACAGCCATTGCCATAAGATAATCTTCTTTACTTTTTTCACAAACAAATAGCATCACCGATTGAGACCATTAGTTGAACTTTTGTCAATTGAGTTTGTGACAATAGGTACAATAAGGGGCTCGGACACACCTGTGCTGTTGGCCATGGCATAGACAGAAAAATAGAAAGAAAAAAAAAAATATATATATATATATATATAGGTTTTGATGGTTCAAGATAAACACTCTGATGCCATGAAGAAATTCATGAGAATTTTATTTATGAATTGTTAAGAAACTTTCTAACGTACAAGTGTATATATATATATATATAGCTAAAACATCAAATTTGGCAAATCTCATGATATTTTAAAGATAATAATAAATCACCTAAAAATCCTCTAACAATAAATGGAAACTACCAAGTAGGAATTTGATCAATGAACCAAATCTCTTTTATTTTGGAAACAACCAAAATACTAAATGAATGACACCTAATCAAATCTGGTTAGGAATTGGTCCTCTACATATGATCTGAAGTAGACACCAGGCAGCAGTCAGTCTGTCTATAACATTCGAGACAAAGCCAGCCAAGTGCAGCGTGGCACATTCTAATACACTAGGTTTCAAGCCCATTGCACGAGCCAAATGATAAACAACCTATTAATTTTCTTTCATGAAATGCATTGATAGGTCAATAAAGCTCCTTAAAAGAAGAAGATACTTGGCAACAGCCCAGGAAATCTGTTCCTTTTAGCAACACCTATAACTAGTTTGCAGGGTAACATGGCTCATGCTACCTCTCCTTCAAATAAACAAGGGACTATTGGAGGGTCAAATATGCTCCTTACGATGGGAAATCTTGTAAGATCTTCAAACCTCAATGTAAGTCCAAGCAATTGAATTTCAAATTTTAGAAGATAAACATTCTGGAAAATGCATTTTATGCTTATACCAAGAGTAAACCTCAAAGCATAATAAAGTCCACAGTGCAACTAAGATGGAGTTAGAAAACTGAGTTCATTCTCTTCCAGAAACTTATTCAATGAAGAGAAAAAACTCTAGTAACAGACACACTTGTGTACTGTGTCACATATGCAAATTTGATTTATTTCACCTACTTTCTTTGCCCACAATTTGTAAGAATTCTAAAAGATCAGTTCCAAGCAGGCAGATAACAAGCTGGAATGAAACAAGATTCAACCTCAGCAAGACCAGTGTATTACAGCACAAATTTATATTAATTATAGTGTCTGAGATCAGGAATTTTTGAGAAAATGTTAAAATTCAGGCATAATTGATTATAAAACTTCCAGAAATCTGCTCCTCATTCCGCAAAATGTAAAAGGTGAAAATACTATCTTAATCTCACCTGATTGTCGCCAGAAGGTACAAACCCCAGCAGTATTCCCTTATTAATTGTCATAGCAGAAACAATACCACCCTGCAAGCATTAGAAAACTAAGAATGTTAAACAATAAACAGCAAACAAATTTACGTCACTGAAGCATGTCATTAACATAAACATAACATAGATCAAAGCAAATACAGGTGCAAACATAGATCAAAGCAAATACAGATGCAACATACTAACCTGATGATCGACATGAGCTCCCAATGGACAAATCCGATAAGGAGATACAACAACTCGAACCTCCGCTGTACCTTTCCCAGCCATTTCAGATATTATCTTTCTAATTTTATTTAACTGCAATCCGGTGGCATCCACAATAAATACAAGACCACAGTAGGCATTGCAAACTGGGGAAATGACCCAGATTCACTAACAAAAAATGCAGAGGAAATGGCACATCGTGAAAAGAACACCCCCCCCCCCCCCCGACCCAAAAAAAAAAATTCAGATTATTAAATCTATCCTTCTTTTTACTTTGTAAGGCAAGAAAATCACTTGGAAGATAATGATAAAACAATGCCACAAACATTAATGTAAAGATAGAAATGAAACTGTACCAATGTGAATAAATCACAAGTTAAAAGTAAAAACCAAGATAGATACCAAATAAAAGGAGAGAAAAAGAGAAAATGCAGTTGAAAATAACAAGGGTATGGATCAAGAAAGATTAGTACCTCATCCTGAGTAGGCCAAGACATTGAATCGATCTCCCAATTTGTTCTCAGCTTTGCCCAATTTGAGGATTGTGTTTACAAACAGAAAGGAGTGGTAAAAGTGAAAAAGAACAATGAAAGCAAGGGGCGGCTGGTGAACGGGGAAAATCGGTTAAAACGTCAAATGATGTTGATGTTTTCATCACAACTATACTCTGATGTTAATGTTTTCATCACCCTATTTATTTGCTTAAATCTAATGTCTTTTAAAAAAAAAAAAAAAACGTTTATTACATTTTTTTACCTAAATTTTGAAAAAAAAAAGTATAAATTATTATCTAAAATAATAAAATGTATAATTTTCATCATGAATACCATTTAATCCAAATTCTAATTCTATCAAACTGAACCCATCTATATATTTAATTAGTATAATTGTATTATATGTGTATCCTTTGTTATAAAAAATTTCATGTTGATGACTCATGACAAAAAATAATTGATCAATTTTATGATAAAATATATAATTTTAATTTATATCAAAAAATTGATAATATATGTGATAAATATATTACTTGATAATATTTATCAAACAGTATATATATAAGTTGATATAATTAGCGATATTAGAGTTTGGATTAACGGAATATATTGTTTAAAAATTTAAGATATAAATTTTATATTTTAAATTTTTAGATGTTTATTTGTGCATTTTTCTCAAACTCAATTACTAAAAGTTTAATTAACTCTTAAGGTTACAATACCCAAAAAAAAAATTATGTTTCTCATTTTTTATAAATTTTTTTCTTATTCTTTAGTTCTCTATTTCTTTGCCAAAATACTTTACTAAATGCAAAAAAAAAAAAAAAAATCACTAAATATATACTTATTTTTTTGGTCAAGAGATACTTGTTAATTCTTTTGTAAAATTAATCTAAATGGATAGTTATTTTTTATTATATTGTAATTTTAAATCCTTTTCCTATGATTTTATTAAAAAATAAAAAATGAAGAATGAAAATAGAATGAAAGAAAAATGAGAAAAATAAAAAGTCCAACCCTTTTTTATTTTTTCTCTTTACCCTTCCTTTTTTTTACCCTTATTCCATCCATTTTCTCTTTTTTTTTTTTTCATTTTTTTATGTGGTAAAAGACTCATCCTCGATGTGGGTAATAATGGATCTTAATATTTAATTTGGAGGAACCAACTAATGATATATAATATACTATATATAATATACTTTATTTTATTTCTTTCCAAAGAAATATTTTAACATACATATTAATGCAAATAATATACTAATAAAAACATGACAAGTTTATAAAATTATAAAACAAAAATATTATTATGACAATATTATAATTTTAACAATAATAGGATTTACAATTAATGGTAAAATTACTAATTATACAATCTATCAATAACTAATGGGAATTGTTTTGAACTTTTTGGTAATTTAAAACTGAAATAAAAAAAAGATACGAATAAATCAATCATTAAATATTTTTTCACAATAAAAAAATTAAATATAATCTAAAAAGAATGATGATGAAATTTTGAGATTGAAATTATAAGTTTTTTTTATCCTTTTGTAAAGTAGTTCTAATATAATTTTTTTTGTTGAAAAATAAATTACAATAACATGAGATATAGATTTCAAGTAAAAATGAAAGTAAAAAATGATACAGAGAAGAAAAGTTGAAATAAGCTAAAATGAAGGTTAGAGTTCAATTCTTAAAATTTGTAATTTCCCTTTCACTAAATCTCTTAGATTTAATCTCTCTTTCAACAAAAAAAAAATGAAAAGAAAAACAAAAACACATTCGATACTTATCGAAAATTTAGAATCTTATCAAGAAAACTAAAAATTTAATTTAACTTATATTAAGTTTACATGATTGTCATTTTAAATTTATGGCAAGCCTCTTAATTTTAAAAATTTGCAAGTAATGATATTTGAGTATAATAAACAAACAAATATCAATGTAATTTAAACTTCTCTTAAATTGTAATACATAGATTAAATAATGAAAACATAAAAAAATTATAATTTTAATTTAAGGGTCAATTGAAATGTATTTAATATGAGTATATATATACATTTACTAAGAAAGTAAAGGGGTTTTAAAAATTTTGAGGAGCCAAGGCCCCATTTGGTTTCTATTACCTATCGCCCTTAAAGGTAGGAGAATCAATTAGTCTTGTTTATTGTCAATTTGATGTGGGTTTCAAAACAATCCTCATTCACTATTGCTTTTTTTCTCTTATATCCACATCCTTTCTTCTTCTTTCCTCCTACTTTCCTCTCTTTATCCTCATTTTCCTCCAATGATTAGTTAACCATTTTTATTCATTCACCCTTTCCCTTTCTCTCATTTTCCCTTCCTAAACCACCTTTCTCTTCCTCCATAACCTGCACCTTCATTTTCTCTCTCTCCATTTTTTCTTTTCTCTAATTTTTTTTTCTTTAAAACAAATACTCAACTCCAACATCTGATAACACAAACTAACAAAATAAAACAAAATATCCTATATTAAGTTATAAAATTTCATACAAGTCATTTTTAAATTGGAATAAAAAAATAGGGTTGAGTTAAAAATTGAAAATTTATTTAAAATTATAATTTTTAGTTCGAATTAAATTAGTTTTTTCTATTCAATTCAATATGGATTGAATATTAAATATTTAAATTCAATTCAAATCCATTTTTAGTTCACGATGTTATAAAATCGAATAAATTTGAACTGAACTTAATTATATTTATTTGGTTTTTATATAAATTTTAAAATTTTATAAAATAACAATAATTATTTTATATCTAGATTTATTCAAATATATTAAAAAACAATATGAAAATAATAGAAATAATTTTAAAAAATTAATGAATCAAACTTAATCAATAGAATTTGGTTCAATTCAATTCAATTGCAAAAAAAGTCGATTTGGATTTGGATCGAATTTTAAAATACTGTCTATTAACCAAATAATTGAATCAAATATGATCTAATTCATTATCACCTTTTCGATTCCTAATCACTTCTACTTAAAAATAAATATAGTAGATATAAAAAGTCATTTTTATTTTCAAAGTGATTTTTGGCAAAACCCACCTAGGGTTTATTTGGATAGATGATAAGATTGGCTATGATGATATTGAAAACAACAGTGGCATAAAGATTGGGTATGTAGCTATAAGGTTAAAATTAGAGGTGAGATATATTTTTTAATATCAAAACAGCATTGTTAATGAGGTGAGAATAAAAAATGAACATTAAGTATTTTATTTTATAAATGTATTATAATTTTTATGTATATCTTAATATTATTTATAACATTTAAAATCTTGAAATTTTTATTCATTCAAAATATTAATATTAGTTCATATTATTCATTTTATTAATTTACTATATAATAATAATATTTATTAATTTATTTATTATACAATAATAAATTTGATTTATTATATTAAATTAACAAAATTATTTTAAAATTTTTAAATAAAAAATCAAAATGAAAAAAATGAAAGGTTAAAATGGTATGGATATTTATGTTAATCACTATAATTTTAAAGGTAAAAAAGGAAAAACAAAAAGATATAAAACAAAATTGGAAGGAATGATGGGGGTTCTATACACCACCAAAATTTCTCTATACACGTCTAAAAATTTCTTCCAAAAATATCCACATAACAAATGCCAATTTTAACTTTTAGTAAATGACAAAAATACCCTTAATAGCTTATACTCCCTAAAACCACATTGTATTACTTGGAAATGGATTTCCAAGAGTTATATTGTATTATCATAAATTTATTTTTTAGAAAGAAACTTAATTCTTAGAAACAGATTACCGAGAACAAAAAATAACTCTTGAAAATTTATTTCAAGAATTTTTTGAGCTCTTGAAAATGGATTTCCAAGAATTATCCTGTATTCTTGAAAATTTATTTCTAAAAATACATAATTTTTTTAAAAAATATATTTAATTATAAACTATTGATAAAAGGAAAATTAAGATATCTAATCTTTGGGCCATTGAAAAATGTCATTAACAAACTGGCAAATCTTACAGTAAGGATTGATAGCTGAAATACTAAATATTATTAAATTTACTAGTCTACTAATGACATTGTCAGCGTCAATGTTCTATAGGGTATTCAAGTTCGGACTAGCATGCATGTACACACATGAGTCATCATTGTGCTCATTTTTTCTTAATCATATGTACAAATAGAAAAGATATGTTAGTTTTCAAGCATGTATAGGAATAAAAATATTTTTGTCTTGAATCCAAAAAACCAAAAACTCCATTTTGCCCATGAAAAACCAGAAAACCAGAAAATGGTGTTATCAATTTTTTTGAGGCTCAAGAGAAAGAATAAGTTTATGTCATACATGTTGAGAACATTGATTTTAGTTCCATTCGCACACATAATCAAGTAAAAGGGTTCATAAGCACATGATTACGATTTTTTAGTGATTAAAAGTGAAATCGAGCTTCTCGAAAATAGAGATTTGAGGAGCCTCAAATCTTTTCGGATATCCATTTTTTAAAAGACTTAAGGCTTCTCGAAAATGGATATCCAAAAACATTTGAAGTTTCTCAAAAATAAATATTCAATAGGCTTTGAGACTTCTCAAAAATGAATATTCAAGAATATTTAAAGATTCTTAGATATTTATTTCTGAGAAGCCTCAAAGCTTCTCATATATTCATTTTCAAGAAGTTCGATTTTAGAAAGTGAAGAGAAAAGAAAAGAGAAAGGGTAGGAATGGAAAATAGAAAATAAGGGGTGGAGTATATTTAATCGAAATAGAAAATTAAATTTTGAATTTGGGGTGTATTTAGAAGTGGGGTGTATATAGCATTAAATGGGATATAAATAGAATTCCTCAAAATGATGTGGTGAAAAAAAAAGAATTATCATTGAACCTCTTAAGTTTAGTGGATAACTAAAAGTTACTTTCTCTCACTGGTATTATCCAAACATCATAATGGTATGATTTAGACCAAAAAGTGGTCCAAATCACATCTAAACAATACTGATCAACAATTTAAATGAGCACTTAAGCTAATATCTACACTGAACTAACCTAAGACTAAAAGAGCTTGTTTATTAAAAATTGAATTTATGTTATAATTGAATTTAGACTAAATGAAAACTTAAGCTAATATCTTATAATTTATCTTTTCATTTTATTTGTTGTTTAGAATTAACTTAAGATA